ACCTTCTATCCAGCTACTCTACTGAATCTGTCAATTAAGTCTAGAAGTCTTTTGGTGGAGTTTTTTGGGTCTTCAATGTAGCGTATCATATTATCAGCAAATAATGACAGTTTAACTTCTTCCTTTTCCTATCTTTATTGCTTTAATTTCTTTCTCTTGTCTAATTGCTTTTGCTAAGGTTTCCAGAACTGTGTAGAAGAGGAGTAGTGATAGTTGGCATCCTTGTCTTGTTTCTGATTTTAACGTGAAGATTTTCAATTTTTGGCCATTTAATATGATATTGGCTATTGGTTTTTCATAGATAGGCTTTATTAAGTTGAGATATAGACCATCTATTCCAATTTTTTGCAGGGTTTTTTTCATCATAAATGGGTGTTGCATTTTGTCAAATGCTTTTTCTGCATCTATTGAGAGGATCATATAGTTTTTGTCCTTGACTCTGTTAATATAGTGTATTACATTTATTGACTTACGTATGTTGAACCATCCTTGCATCCCTGGAATAAATCCAACTTGGTCAGGATATATGATCTTCTTGATAATCCTCTGTATTCTGTTTGCTAGTATCTTATTAAAGATTTTTGCATCTATATTCATTAAGGAGATTGGCCTGTAGTTCTCCTTTTTAGTTGCATCTTTCCCTGGTTTGGGAATCAAAGTGATACTTGTTTACAGGAATGAATTTGGAAGTATAGCTTCCCTTTCAGTTTCATTGAAAAGTTAGAAGAGTAAAGGCAGTAGTTCTTCTCTAAATTTCTTGTAAAATTCAGCAGTGAATCCATCAGGACCTGAGCTTTTCTTTGTTGGTAAATTTTTCATTACATTTTCAGTTTCACTGACTGTAACTCTTTAAAATGTTTTTTTCTTCTTTGTTCCACTTTGGTAATTCATAAGTATCTAAAAATCTGTCCATTTCTTCTGTGTCTTCCATTTTATTGGAGTACAGGTTCTCAAAGTAGGTATTAATGATCCTCTGGATTTCTTTTGGATCTGTTGTGACTTCACCTTTTTCATTCCTATTACATGGATCAGAGCCTTTCCTTTCCTTTTTTCGATAAGATTAGCTAAGGGTTTGTCGATTTTATTTATTCTTTCAAAAAAACCAGCTTTGTTTCATTTATATTTTGTATCATTTTCTTAGTTTCCATTGCATTGATTTCTGCTCCGATCTTTATAATTTCCTCTCTTGTTCGATCTTTGGGTTTTTTTTGCTCTTGTTTTTCTAGGAGTGTAAGATTCATCATTAGGTTGTTTATTTGAGCTCGCTCTGTTTTCCTAGTGTGGGCATTTGGTGCTATGAATTTTCCCCCATAGAACTGCTTTCATTGTGTCCCATAGATTCCCGTATGTTGTGTTGGCATTTTTATTTATTTGTAAAAACTGTCTAATTTCTTCTTTAATTTCCTCTGTAATCCATTGATTGTTCAGGAGAGTGTTGTTCAGTTTCCATGTGCTTGTGAAGTTCCTACAGTTTCTTGTGCTATTGATCTCCAGCTTGATTGCACTATGATCTGATAATATACACGGGATAACTTCTATTCTTTTGCATTTATTCAGACCTGTTCTGTGAGCCAACATGTGGTCTATCTTGGAGAATGATCCATGCGCAGCCAAAAAGAATGTATATTCTGATTTTGTGGGGTGGATTACTCTATAGACATCTATTAAGTTCATGTGTTCCAAAGCTTGGTTCAGTTCTAGTATTTCATTGTTGATTTTCTGCCTAGATGATCTGTCAGTTTGTGATCGTGGGTTATTTAAATCCCCAACTACAATTGTATACATGCTTATTTGGTTTTTCATGTTACTTAATATTTGTTTCATATAGTTGGGGCATTTATATTTGGTGCATATATGTTTATGATTGTCATCTCTTCCTCTTGAATTGTTCCCTTTACAAGGATGTAGTGACCTTCTTTGCCTCTCTTACTGAGTTTTGGTTTAAAAATTACTTTGTGAATAAAATTGCTACCCCTGCTTTTTCTCTGGGCTCCTGATGCATGGAAAATTGTTTTCCATCCTTTCACTTGCAGTCTGTGGGCTTCTTTTTGCACTAGGTGTGTTTCTTGTATACAACATATTGTTGGATTTTGCTTCTTGATCCATTCTGCCAGTCTTTTTCTCTTGATTGGTGAATTGAGACCATTAACATGGATGGTTATAACTGATATGCTCTGACTTATTATTGTCATGTTACTTTCCTTTTGTTGACTCTTTTTACTTTTTCTCCCCTCTCCTTTTAGTTTCTTGCCTTGCCTATTTGATTTGGTCTGTTGTGCCTCATGGTGTTGTGACCTTCATTGTCCTTTTCTAGGGTATTGTTTAGAATTCCTTGCAGTGCTGGTTTGGTGTTCATGAAGTTTCTCAGGTGTTCTTTGTCATGGAAGTATCTTATTTCCCCGTCCATTTTGAAAGAGAGTTTTGCAGGATACATCAGACTAGGTTGGAGGTTGTTTTCTTTTAGGACTTGAAATACCTCACTCCAGGCTCTCCTTGAGCTAAGGGTTTGTGTTGAAAGTCTTCTGTGATTCTAATTGGCTTTCCTTTGCATGTGATTTGTTTCTTTTCTCTTACTGCTTGTAGTATTTGGTTCTTCTGTTGGATTTCTAGGATCTTGATGTGTAGGTGTAGATTTTTTTTTTTTATCATGGCTAGTTGGAGTTCTATATGCCTCACTTATCTGTATGTCTAATTCTTCCCTTCTGTTTGGGAAGTTTTCTGTCATTCTGTGAAGATCTTTTTTAAGTCATTTGTGTTTTCTCCTGCTATTTCATGGATTCTTATCAGTTTTATATTATTTTTCTTTCCATCATCTAGAAGTTGTTGGATTGATTTCTCATGATTCCTTGCTGTTTTTTAAGAGACCTCTATATTCATGGTCACTGACTGCAATCCTATCTTCTATATCCAAAATTCTATCTTTGCAATCTTTTATTCTGTTGTGTACACTTTCAATAGAGTTTTTAATCTCCTGGATATCTGTTTGAATCTATTTTATGGATTCCATTTCTTTCCTCTGTTAGGCATTCATTGTTTCCATTTCTTATGCTGAGCCTTCATGGTTTCTATCATGGTCTTGAGCTCATCTATTTTTTTTGTCAGTTTCTGTTCTAGCGTCTCGAATCATGACTTCCATTTTGCTCATCATCTCTATGGTTATCTGGAAAATTATTTCTGTTTTTAATTTTTCTAGAGCCTGATTGATCTGTTTTGTTACCTCCTGTGCTATGGGTCCAGGGTGTCCTGCTGGTTCACTATCAGACTTTTCATTCTCATTTGCCCTACTGTTTGCCATTGGTGAACTGGAAGTATGTCTTTCTGTGTTGCTTAAGTGTTTTCTCATTTTTATTTTTGTTGTTGTGTTGTCTTTGGTTTAATTTCTGGGTTATTACTTAAATCTTTCTGATAGGTTACACTTTAGCTTTTGATCCTCTAATGACTCGTAGACATCCTCATTTTCATAATATCGGAGAGAACAACTCATTAAATAAATCACAATCCTTTTCCCAATTGATACTTTGAGCAGCCCAATAAGATCAAGCACAGCTTGCAAATTGACCACTTGTGGTAGTCATTAATCTACTACCTTTAAACCATGTGAAATAAATTAATATCAAGAAGCAGCCCAAAATATGTTTGCAGTGAATACACTTTTCAATATAGCACCTTTACCATTTAGGATGGGGGCTTAGACTGAATTAAAACAAGAGGAGTAGATAAGTGAAAGAATTGGAGAAGGTTTCAAGTGAAGGCAGGGGATGTAGAATGGCCATAGAATCTTTACAAAACTATGAACTTCAAAGGGGATAAACAGAGTGCAGGAATAAGGACAATAATATATTCCCTTAACAGTAACGGGCTCGCCTTCCCTTGAAGCCACAGAGACATGAGTGAGGCAAAATGACAGGAGAAAAGAACATAAAGAAAAAAATGATAAAAGAAGAAGTCTGAGTCAGGGCAGGAACAGGAATAGAAAGGGAGATGAGGGATAATATGGTGGAGCAAGAGACTGAGTTGCAGAAAGAGGACAGAAAAAAGAACGAAATTGCAGGGTGCAATGTGGAAAAGAAAAAAATAATTTGAAGGGCTTCTTTCAGACTATGCCTCTGTTGTCATATTATACCACGTGTACAGCCATGTGCAGAACCAAGACCCCTGATCTCAGCTAGCCAATGGCAGATCCCCAGGTCTCAGACTGACGTCAGGCCACAAGGCCTAAATTGAGTTTCCCAACCTGCAGGGTTGAGCTCCACTCAGTTCTATTACAGGTTTCCCCTGCCCTTTCTTTAAAGATGTTCAAAGTTGGGTATTCAGAAAAATACTCTTTATGACCACCTATGCTTCTGAAGAGTGGGTCCAAGGACTGGCCCAATCAGGAGGTTTGAGAACAGGGGTACAGGTCATGGGGGTGTTTCAAGGGTGCCCTTGTGGCTACTTTCCTTGCTTGAACTGGTGGCACACAATCGGGGAGGTCGCAAACCTGCGAGGTGGGCCTGAGCAGGTGGCAGGAGAGAGCTCCTGGTGGCCTTCTTTGCTGGAGCTGGTGGTGCACAGTCGGGGAGGCCATGGACCTGCCAGGTGGGCTTGAGCAGGTGGTGGGAGAGATCTCCGGGTGGCCTTCCTTGCTGGAGCTGGTGGCATGCAGTCCCACTGCATTTCTTATAGTTCCCCATTTTCTTTTTAATTGCTATGCTATGTTTGGGCTAAGAGAGGGACATTTTATCTCATTAAGAAAGGATGCCCTGAATTCTCTTGTATTGGGGGCCTTTATTACAAATGGGTAATGTTATAAAAGAACCCTTCATGTTTGTGTGCATAATTACAGTTTTTTCATAGCTTTGTGTATACAATGAATTGCATTAATTTCTTAATATTGAACTTTTCTTTCTTCCTAGAATTAATGTTTTAAGTCTTCATGTTTATCTGTTTGTGTATATCAAACTCTGAATATTATTTCATCGCATTCTATATTTGTTTCTATTCTTCTTTCAATCTCTCAGGTCCTCTTTCAGCCATTTATCTCACTGGGATGATTCTAGCAACCATGGAGGTTATGCTGCTTCTGAATCTTCATTTTAAATCTCCCTGCTGAACTCTACATCATATATTCTAGTGCCTATTTGGTTTCCCTGCATACTTGATTACAGACATTTCAAACATGGTTTAAGATCAATCTAATGTCTTCCCATTGTATTCATTGTTCTTTCTGCCAATTTTAGTTTTTAGGACAAGTTTCTACATAGCTGGCCATGCAAACAGTTTTGAAGTACATTCTCATTTTCAACCTGTGCACAGAACCAGTTAGTATGAAATTGTAGTCCTGCTTTTTTTTTTTAAGATGAGCCTCCTGTTCTGTAATCTTAATGCTGTATCTCCTCATGTAAGCAGTAATGTATAATGCTGTTTTTGTCCTCCTTTAAAAGACTCTGTCTTAAGTTCTTCACCATTCTCTTATGGGCTGACTTGCAGAATGCATATCTGTTCAAGTAACTTACCACTTTTTATTGGCCCCTCATTATTTATTTTCTGTCTTAGGAAGTAGGTGATGTTCACTTTTAGTAGGCACTTTTTCCCCCCATACCGGGGATTGAATGTAGGACCTTGTGCTTGTGAGGTAGACACAGGGCCCCTGGGCTAGATACCTGACCCTGATGGTCACTTCTACATGAATACTAGTGATTGTTTGTATTTTGAAAGGAAAAATAAGTATTGCCATGATTGTGATAGGTAAAGATCTGAGCTGTAATTTTAGTGATGCACAACCTGATAACACAAAGCTGTTTTTTTCTGCCTCATTAGTGCTTTTTTCTACATTAAACAGATGCTGCAGGTTATTGAACTCATTATTACCAGTGTGTGCTTATACTTAAATCTTTACAATGGAATGTTAGCTCTTTTTTGGAGCAGAATGTAATTTATCCCATTCTTGCTAAGAACAAGGACAGCTCTATACCTAAAAAGGAGAGCTAGGTGTGATGGCATACTCCTGTAATTCCAGAATTCAAGAGGCTGAGGTATGAGAGTTGGTGTGAGTTTGGGGCCAGCCATGGGTACATAGTAAGCTCAACTCAGCTTGAACTATGTAGAGTGACCTTGTCTCAAAACAAAAATCTATAAATGAAATTCTATAGGTTTTTTTGTTTGTTTGTTTGGTTGATTTTGGGGCAGGGGTTGGATTCTGGAGATTCAACCCAGGGCCATTGCACTGAGCTCTATCTGCAGCCCCTTTTCAAAATTTTTTATTTCTAGAGTGGGTCTTGCTAAGTCACTAAGTTGTGCAGGCTAGGCTCCAACTTGGAATCTTCCTGCCTGAGCTTCTCTGGGATCATTTTTGACTACTAAATTAGCATAGAGGAAAGATATTTCTGTTTTTTTTGTTTTTTTTTCTCCTACAATGTAAAGTACAAATCACGCTGCATCTTACAAAAAAATACATTTAAGACACAGTTTCACATAGAAGAGGGAAACTCTACATTCCTGTTCTTCTGGCCCTACTGCTGAAGATTTGGGTTGATGAGCCCACTTACAGGGGCTGGTGTCATTTGAGGATGTGTCTGTGGACTTCACATGGGAGGAGTGGAAGGATCTCAGTGATGGCCAGAAGAACCTCTACAGAGAAGTGATGCTGGAGACCTACGATAATCTGTTGGCCTTGGGTGAGTGAAACCCCCTACCCCAATAACTCTGGTAGGGATTATTTTGTTTTTGGTTAGCAAATGTAGGAACTGTGTGTGAGTTTTAGTGCTACTTTTATGTGTTTTTAGCCATCGTGTACCATTTGCACATTTATAGGGTAGAGCATGGGTTTCAGCACATCAATGCAACCTAAATTGATTAAATTAGGGTAATTGACAAGTGTTTTACCTCACATGAATTTTTTTTCATGAATTCATGTTTCAGCACAGTGTGTATGAATTCAAGCAGGCAAAAAACCCACACACATGAAAACACTGAAGTTATATTACTTTTGTGAGGTACTATGAACCCAGTGATTATTTTAAATTATTTTGTTTTATTGCTGTCCTTTTTTTCTCTTTTTGTCCTTTTTCCATGAATACCTCTGTTTAGTTATTTTTCTAGGATTTCCACTTGGTTCTCTTCCACATGTTCTGTTGCTTTACTGATACAATCTTTCACGTCTTGCATTATCTTCTTATATTCCATCAGCTGGTTATTTGAACTCATTCGTTATTCTGATAATACATTTACCTATTTGTCTTTTCTTTGATCTCTGATTTTTACTATCAGTTTTTGAAATTCTTTGTGTCTAATTTGATCCACTTCATTATCTGTGGGATCATCTTTTGGGGATTGATTGACTGATTGATTGAGACAGGGTCTCACTATGTAGTCCAGGTTGGGCTCAAATATATGGTGATCCTCGTGCCTCAGCCTCCCAAGTACTGGGCTTACATATTTTTGGAGGTATATTGTTGCCTTGTTTTCTCATTTTAATTGTGCTTCTTTATTAAGGTTTATAGAACAGTTGGCTAGAATGTCTCACTACTCTTGTGTGGGTTTTTTGTTTGTTTGTTTGTTTTGTAAGTGCTTTTCTCTGTTGTGTATTTGCATTGTGAGTATATCTGTTTGTGTTTGTACCCAGTCTTTTCTGTGTGCTAGGTCCTGCCCCTAGATCTTCTTTGAAAGTAGAGAGTAACTACCAGCAACATCATCACTTGAGAAGCTAACCATAGATTATTTAATACTTAAGAACTTGGCAAAATGTCTGCAGTATTATAGTAATCCAGGATGAGATACAGTGTACTAATACATCATAGCAGGTAGATCAAATTAAGTAGTGGTAATCGTATTTCCAAGAGTATATAGGTAAAGGAGAAGAGAAATATGAGGGAGGGGCAAAAAGTAGAGAATAAAAATTATTACCCCCCTTAAAAAAAAGAGAAAGGAGGCTAGACAGAACCTGGTATGTGGAGGGTAGGAAGGAGTAGAGAAAGGAAGGGAATATAAATGAGCTGTGAGATAAAGAGAAAGTGATTTGTATCAAATTCATTATCAGTAAAAAAAATTTATATATTCTAGTGAACTGTGTGTGGGGTAATATGACAAAACGGTGTGGAGTATTATGAAGGTAAAGTCGAAAACCAATACAGCCATGCTCACATATACCCATATAAAGACTAGCCATTTTCACACAAACTACTGATAGAGTAAAAAGGCAAAACGCAAGAGAGGGAGAGAATAAAGGGGCATTTGTCCTGTTTTGTAGATTGGGATGAGCATCCCTCTGCCATTTTTTCTGCTGCTGTTTTTAGTCTGCTATGATCAGGGCCCCTCTAGTATTCTCAGGGTCAGTGGTAGGGAATTTCCCCCTCCTCAAAGTGAGTCTCAGCCACAGTTCTCAGCCAACCAAAACCTTGGAGGATTTCCACCCCATCCTTGTCTCTCTGTCTCTGTGATTTCACTGGTGTCCAGAGTTAAGGAGAAGATTTTTTTCAGCTAGATTGTTTCTTTCCACCTCCATTGGCTTTGGGTCCCAGCTGCCCCTGATCTCTCAGTTCATTGTCAATTGTTTCTCTCTAGGCCCAGTGCCAACAAGGCAGAAGCCCAAGCCAAAATAGGGGTCATTGTTCAGTGCTTCTAGTCCTGACTCACTCCCCTGAGGATGGCATAGTGGTTGGACCTACTATGGAAACAGAACCAGTCAGTTGGGACTATTTTTATCACAGATTCTGGGCTGTTTGGTAGTGGAGTGACTACATAGTTAAGTGGCCAGCTGTAACCAACCTCTTGGCTTCTTCCTCAGAGTGATTTTGTGTGTTTTAGAGATGCTTGATTTCTGGCCATGTTCTGGCAGGAACAACAGAAGTCAAGAGTAGGAAAAATTTATTGAGGGAAAGAAAGCTTCTGTCTAAGGTAGAAGGTGGACTAGAAAGTGGGTTGCCTGTTCACCCTAATTTTCAAAGATGTTTTATTCAGCAAAGCCATGTGGTGAGGTGGGTACAAAATGGGACAAAACTATAAGACCCAGTGGAAAATTACAAGGTGGACATGAGGTGGAGCAAGACCATGACCAACCAATAAGATTACAAGTAAAGTCACCCAGGTAACATTGATTAAATGAGAGTCAAATGGGGGAGCAAGTCACATAACAAGCGTATATAAGGATTTTCATTAAGGGTGGGAGTCAGGGATATTTCCTGGAAAGGCTGGGTTAAGATCTCAGCCCCCCCACCCAGATGTTTGAAACCTATTTAAAATATCAATTGCTGCTATTTTTCCCGGGTGAGGGGGAGGCACAAAGGCATAGTAGTTTCTCCCCTTCTACAACTCCTTGAAAGTGTCTAGATTTTTCTCCATGTTGGCTCCTTGCTGTGTTGGTTGGCTTCTTGAGGGCGGCCCTGTCTTAACTGCCCACAAGACATCCAGTTAACCCACCTGTCTACAATACAACTTCTTGATAATGCCACAACACTCCCTAGTCACATTTTCTTGAGGTGGGGATGTCTTTCTGATGAGGTTCTAACATAGTTTGGCACAAATCTCACACTGATTCACTATTAACAGGACCCTGCAGTACCAAACCTGCTGTGATCTTCAAGTTGGAGCAAGGATCTGGGCCATGCATGCTAGAAGAAGCTCCAAGCCAGAGCTTCCCAGGTATGTATACTGGGCAGGGGAATGAGGATGATGAGTGCTCATCAGATATTAGCCATGAAGGACTGTTTTCATTATTTTTCCTCTTGTAAACAGCTGGTCTCATTCTTTGTAGATTTGTTTTCCATAGCTTAGAAAGAGATCTCTCACATATGAATCCATGTTCTTTTTTTGTTGTTCCTGTATATTTTGTTAGATTTACCAGAAAGTTAATTCTTAAATGGATATTACACATTTTTCTTACTAAGACCCTTTCTGTAAATTCTTCCACATTCATATCCTGATTTTCCCCCCTCAGCCATTTGCTTTTTGATTACCTCATAGACACTGGTATTTTTTTAACTGTTAGGATTAATAAAATGCATTATAATGCATTTTACTGAAAGATAATATTAAACCAAATATATAGTGTTTGTAGTTACATGAAAGCCACAAAGAATGTTGTATGATGATGAGATTAAAAATAAAATAAGGCATTTTATTTTAGGAATGATGTCTAATGTGTAGACTGCTTTAAAAAATGCTATAATAAAAATTATTAGAAAATGATCTATTATTACTTAAATATATTAACTATGTTACCTATTTTATGTGTGGTCCAGGACAATTTTCTTTTGCTTCAAAGTGGTATGGGTTATGGGAAGGAAGGGAGCCACAGGTTGGACAAATCTGGAAAGCAAAAGCAGTTTTTAAGATGGTTATTTTAATTTTTAGATGTCCACTTTCTAAAAATGGCATATGCAAAGGTAGATTGAAAAATTTAGAGTCATAAATGATCGTGAGTATAAAGAAGATACAAATTGGGAAGTCAGTATTGCCTGTATTTAAATCTTAGTTATTCAGGCAGTCACTAGGTAAGAAAACAAGGAAATTCCAGTATTGCCAGGCATGGTGATGCATGCCTAAAAACTCAGCATTCAGGAGGCTAGGACAAGAGGATTGCTGAGAGTTCCAGGTCAGCCTGGGCTACACAATGAGCTCAAGGCAAGCTTGCACTACAAAGTATTCTGTCTCCCCTGAAAAAGGAATTCCAGTATCAAGCCCTGTATATGAAAACATCAGAATTTATAAAAGTGAGGAGTACCTAGCATATGTGCATGGAAAGTATGGGATCCTGAACTTTGTAGGACTACCAGAAGATCTTTGATAAAAAGGACAAGTGAACTCATGATTTCATGTTGAAGGGCTCTAGTTTCTCTTCAGGAATGAAATTCGTAGTTAGCTTTTACACTTTTCTTTATGAAAGACACTGAGACATAATAAATGATATAAAAACTATTTTCTATTCAAATAGAAGAAAGTTGAATTTTAAACACAAAAGGTATCTGAATCATGGAGTTCCCAAGCAGGCATACATGTGCCAGATCCCCAGGTATATGTCCAAGAAATATTCAGAAAAATACTTTGCAACAATGGTAAGCACAGTTGAACTGTAGAACCAAATAATTAAGCCTGAACCTTTGATGGTTTTGACAATCATAAGTTTAATTAGATTAGGGATTTGGAGCAAGTTTGTCTTCTAGTGTAAGAGAAAAGACAGTTTACACTTATGGAACAGTGAAAACAAAACATATAGATATAAATCCTTTTCTTAAATAGTATTTCTACCAAGGTTAAGGAAACCAAGGTTAAGGAAAGTCAACCAAGACTAAATCCTACTACAACTAGCTAATCCAAGAAAATTTTGGATTTCAAATCTGAAAAAAAAGCAAAGGAGGATGATACTATATAAATAGCTGTTGTAAGAAAAAAGTATGGAAAAAATACTGAGAAAAATTGAAGATAAAAACCATTGTGGAAACCCACAGTTAGGCATTAGGTGAATATTGTAATTTTATTTCAAAGGAATAAAAGCAATATGACATGATTTAACTTTTGTAGTCTTTTAATATAGTTTTTTGGATTCATTAGGTCTGAAACCCACACACATCATAAGTCAAGTTATTTTGAAATCTTATATTATGCGATATGGCAGTTCTTTACCTTTGTTTTCCATAAGAAATACTTATGTTTGTTTCATGGAGATTACTACTTTTATATCATTTTAGATGTCCAGAAAGTAAACGGTCTTATTCAGACAAACCAGGAAAATCAAGAGAAATGTTTTTGGCAAGTTGTAACCACATCAGCTGAGGAGAAGGTTGAATTGGAAAAACCATTTAATGTTAATTCAAATCATATTTCAGTTCTGAATATAAAGAATAGAAACTATTCAGGAGTGAAGCCTGAGGAACTTAACATATGGCAGAATGTGCTTCTCCCTGGTGAACCACATGAAGTGCAGATTGGAGACGAGCCTGTTGATCTTAATGTAACTGGAAAATCCTTCAGACATTCTGAACACTTTAGTCTGCATAAAAAAGTTCAAGATATGCAAAAGCAGTTTCAGTATTTTGGACAAGAGAACATCTACAACATGAAAGCGATATTGACACATAAAAAGATTCATGTGGTAAAGACTTCCAGTAAGTTCAGTGAATATGAGAAAGACTTTGATATGTTAGCATTTATTTCCCAAGAGACGACCCAAGCAAAGGAGAAATCAATTGAATATGCCTGTCATAAAGTGCTATTTAAAAAGGTTAAACTCATTAACCATGAGAAAAAACAAAAAGGACAGAAATATTCTGAACATAGTTGTTTAGGAGAACCTTTCATTAGCAAATTATATGTTACAAAACATCAGAGAACACATGCAGGGGAAGAGCCCTATAGATGTAATGAATGTGATAAATTCTTCGGTGGAGAGACAGAACTAAATATGCATCAGAGAATCCACAGAGAAGCAAAATCCTATGAAGATTTTGAATGTGAAAAAAACTTTAACCAGAAGCAAAACCTCAGCAGATGTCTGAAAATTAACACAGATGAGAAGCCATATGAATGTAATATGTGTGAAAAAGCCTTTTACCAGAAATCACACCTCAGTAGACATCAGATAATTCACACTGGTGAGAAACCCCATGAATGTAAAGAATGTAGGAAAACCTTCTACCATAAATCATCCCTCATTATACATCAGAGAACTCACACAGGTGAGAGGCCTTATGACTGTACAAAATGTGGAAAAGCTTTCTACAGTAAGTCACTCCTTACGTTACATCAGAGAACGCACACCGGTGAGAAACCATATGAATGTGAAGAATGTAGAAAAACTTTCAGCTGTAAATCCTACCTTATAGTACATCAGAGAACTCACACAGGTGAGAAACCATATGAATGTGAAGAATGTAGGAAAACTTTCTACTCTAAGTCACACCTCAGGAAACATCAGGTCATTCACACAGGTGGGAAATCATATGCATGTGAAGAATGCATGAAAACTTTCTATCGTAAGTCTATCCTCACTGAACATAAGAGAACTCATACAGGTGAGAAACCGTATGAATGTAATGTATGTGGAAAATCCTTTCCCGGGAAATCAAACCTTCGTATACACCAGAGAATACACAGAGGTGATAAACCATATAAATGTAAAGAGTGTAACAAAACATTCAATCATAAGGCAGCCCTCACTGTACATCAGGGAATTCACACAGGAAACAAACCATATGCATGTGAAGAATGTAAGAAAACTTTCCTCCATAAGTCATCTCTCATTGTGCATCGTAGAAGTCACACAGGTGACAAACCTTATGCATGTGAAGAATGTAGGAAGGCCTTCTACTGTAAGTCACATCTCACTGTGCACCAGAGAACTCATACAGGTGAGAAGCCCTATGAGTGTGAAGAATGTAAGAAATCCTTTCACAAGAAGTCACACCTCAGCAGGCATCAGTTAACACATGAAACTGAGAAACAATTTGAATGTAAACAGTGTGGGAAAACTTTCTACCATAAGGCATCCTTCATTATACATCAGAGAATTCACACAGGTGAGAAACCATATGAGTGTGAAGAATGTAGGAAAACTTTCTACTCTAAGTCACACCTCAGGAGACATCAGGGCATTCACACAGGTGGGAAATCATATGCATGTGAAGAATGCGGGAAAACTTTCTGTCATAAGTCTAACCTCACTGAACATAAGAGAACTCATACAGGTGAGAAAGCCTATGAATGTAATGTGTGTGAAAAATCCTTTTACCGGAAATCAAACCTTAGTACACACCAGAGAACACACAGAGGTGATAAACCATATGAATGTAAAGAGTGTAACAAAACATTCAAACATAAGGCAGCCCTCACTGTACATCAGGGAACTCACACAGGAAACAAACCCTATGCGTGCATGTGAAGAATGTAAGAAAACTTTGATCCATAAGTCATCTCTCATTGTGCATCATAGAAGTCACACAGGTAACAAACATGCATGTGAAGAATGTAGGAAGGCTTTCTGCTGTAAGTCACATTTCACTATGCACCAGCGAACTCATACAGGTGAGAAGCCCTATGAGTGTCAAGAATGTAAGAAATCCTTTCACAAGAAGTCACACCTCAGCAGGCATCAGTTAACACATGAAACTGAGAAACAATTTGAATGTAAAAAGTGTGGGAAAACTTTCTTCCATAAGGCATCCCTCATTATACATCAGAGGAACAATATGAATGTCAGCAATATGAAAAGTCCGTTTACAAAATGTCAAACCTCACCATATATAGGAACTGTACAGTAGGCTATGGATACTTCAAGCCTAGCCCCTGCTCACCCAAATCTGTTAACATTCGAATTCTAAGTTCTTTCTCTGTGTTCTTATGCACTTTAGACCTGAAGTAAACCTGCCTGGCCAGGCTGTTCTTGGGAGCCATAGGTAACTGCATTTAATACAAAGATAATTGATCTAAAAGAACAGTGCTCTTTCCACCTTTATTCCCAAGTATTCCATGTTTAGTTTACATGAGTGAGAGATACTTTGTTGAATCATGTGTTTGTTCTGTTTGCATTATAATGCAAACCTACTATAGATAATTCATTTTATAAGCTTTTTGAGAAATGATACCTGTCTTGATATTGCAGAATTCATACATGAGAATCCTCTGCTGGCACCTGTTATTTTCATGTCAATTTACAGGAAAAACATGTTGAGAAGTTGTTGCAAATGGAGAATGGTTTTGTAGGCAGGAAAATTCACAGAACACTTTGAATAAGGTATCTATTCATACATTTGTTTCACGTGTAAAAATTTCTGACAAACCTTCCAAATGTTATGTATCAGGAAGTAGTCATGAAGGAAGGAAAACTGTCAGCTTACATAATGAATGTTTTTCAAATGGAAGTGTTAAATATAATATTAGAAATCATTTCCAAATATTTCACTATACTGATGTATATAAATACGAATGGTAGTATTTGCTGTTAAGAATAAACGGACATTTATGATTGTTGAAGTTGGATTTTTGGGCATTGCTGTTGGTATCCAGTGCAGGCCAGACATGCTGTTTACCAGCCTACTGTTCACCAACTGTCCCATAACACACACGCACACACACACACACACACACACACACACACACATTTTAGTATTTTGTATTAACACTTTCTTCTTTGGGACCCAGAACAACTGCACAGCATATGTATAGTTCTTGTAATATAATGACTGGAGCTCGGAATATACTTCTTTGGTGGGGTATATGCTTGCTCTGCATGAGGGCCTGTTTTCAATTCTTAGCATAAAGAAGGCAAATATTTTGACTTACGTTAAAAGGTCCTGCATTAAGTGTCACTGTAGGCCATTTATATTTTGTTTTATATTGTCTCAGATATTATACTATTATTTCCTTTTCTCCTCATGTTTATAAGTGTGTGGACATTTTAAATATCTTGTGACAGGTTTTTTTTTGCCTAATGTATAAAGCTAAAAAACATTTATGTGGAACTATACAAATCAAGCATGTAATTGTTCTTAACTGAAATCTAAGTTAATTTAATCAACAGTGAACATCTCAGTGAAAGCAGTCTCTGGAAGAATATTTACCCTTTCGTCCGCATACCTTTCAATAAGGTAGCAGCAGAGGTGTGAGTATGTGGACTGAATGCTGTCTAAATGATGAGTATATGCATTTCTCTTTCCTGTGATAGAGTGCTGTGACTATACCTTGCCAGTGAATTGGCAGCGTACAATGATTTTAGATGCAGACCTCACTGGGATTTTCTTCCTTTGTAAAGAAAAAAGCATAGGGCCAGGGATTTAGCTCAGCAGTTCGGCGGCCTGCCTTGCAAGCACAAGGACCCGAGTTCAATCCCCGGTACAAAAAAAAAAAAAAAAGAAAAAAGCATAATAATGGAACCTGTCACAGAGGGTTATTATTAAGTAGTAAATTAAACAAAGTATTTTGAATATTACCTGGTATGTGGTAAACTGCTGTGATAGTGGCCATTATCACACTTTATAAATTTACTCTTAAAAATTGGTGACTGCAACAGAATATTGTTTGGCAGCCATCTCACTTTTTGTGTGTATCCATTTGGTTTTGTCTCCTGATTTCACAGTTATTCATTCTTTTATCATGTTTGAGGTTTTAAGTAATTACTTGGTACCGGTCTTTCCTCTGATAGTTGTTTTGGGCTGGGCCCATATGTTGACACACTTAAGGATTTTATGGCATGTCTGGGAATATTCCCACAAAGAAAGAGACATGAAAGAGTTGGGACTTGTTTTGCAAGATACTGGTCTTTGTGCACATATTTTCTGATTGCATAGTTTGGCTTTCATGTGGTAACATACTGGTCAGGCAGAAAGCTGTAGAACTGGAGTGAATGGTAACATATGTGAATTACTACTGAAGCGTCCTACTTGGGAGCTTTCATTTCCAGGGTCATTATAGAGAGTATCAGACTTCTATTTGTGCATAAGCATAGAGCACCAACTCAACTAAAAGATAGCATTCATTCATTATCCCAGTTTCTGAGAGTCTGGAGTCTCCTCTGCCTTTTCTGCTGCTTCCCACTAGAGACAGCTCCCACTGGTCATGGTGTGTTCCCATGGCCATCTCAGAATTGCTAATTGCAAAGTGAAAATTTCAACTATCAGTATGTACAGTGATTTGTAAGGAAAAAACTTCATTTTGAACATTTTATAGAAAATAATGACATCTGTATTTTAGAGTTGATCATAGAGTAAATTATTTTTTAGAGAGCAAAATATATACTGTCTTTTTTGTTGTTGCTGAAACAAATATTCAACAAATTAAAGGAGGAAAGTTTTATTTCAGTTAACAGTTTGTAGTGGTTTCAGTCCAGTTGGCTGGCTCCAGCACAGGGCAGCATGGCAGAGGACCTTTGCAGAGGAGGAACAGTCCATGGCAGAACTGTAGGAGGCAGCAAGCAGCCTGCCTTCTTTCCCTTTTTATTCTAAACTACAACCCTGTTGATTGGCACCATCCACATCCATGGTGGGGCTTCCATTATCCACACTTAAGAACTATGCTAAATCAGTTTAATTAACATATTCACACCCCCTAGATTCAACCACCCCCAAAAAGCCCCACCAATGAGTGCATGAGGCTTTATGGGGACATCTAGATTCAAGCCAATATACTGATAGGAGAGTCCATCTCAGGGTCTTACAGGAGTTTTAAATACCTTGCAACTCAGCTTTAGTCTACAGTTACATTTAGGTAATTTGAAGGAGTAGACATGTTTCTGATCAATGTGGGAAATACCTTTGTTCATTGGTTTTAGACCAATGAATGATGTCCAGAAAATGGAAATAATAAAATAAGTGAAACCAGATCAGCATAACAAACAGCGCAGAATCATCAGATAACTTAGCATTAAAGCAGAATGCCCGAAATGTGGACTTCGTTCCACACCTGGGAAGAATGGGGGCAGGAGTGAGGGAAGGGCAATGAATATGTTCAGGAGTAAAGTTGGGTAGGAGAAACAATGTCTAATATTCCACAGCACAGGCCAAAGTGGTTGGCTGTTGTAATTGTATATTTGAAAGTGTTTAGGTGTGACAGGGTTTTGCATGTTTCCAATAGAAGGAAGTAATACATGTTTTGAGATCATGGATATTTCACTTTGCTCTGATAAGTATACGTACACATACTGAAATAGCACTTTGTACCCCTGTAAATATATATAAGTACATGCCAGTAAGATAGATGCTGTGTATAAATATGAACAACATATAAACAAAACACATAATAACATGAATTGTAAGGACAATCCTTTCATGGTAATAAAAATAATGTAGGTTTCCTAGGAACATGTAAAGTTTAGGAAATAGTTGGAAATAGGAAGGACAGTGAGAAAATGTAGCTTTCCCAAAACAATAATTGGAGCTAGTGGTTGTCTGCAATATTTTAAAGCAGGTTTGTAGTAACACCAGACAATATATATACATCAGTGGAAATGAATAGGCTATAGAGAAATAAGCTGGGTGTATATAAAAATGATTCTTACAACACTTGTTATTGATAAGCAGTACAGAAATAATTATGTAATTTTAAAAGCCATTGTGACAATGTAAGTCATATATACTTGATGCAAAATAAATTCCACATGCTATAAGTAGTTTCTGAAGGAAAATAACTAGAATCAACCCATATCCATTTCCAAAATTTTACTTTAATGGTGCACATCGAAAGGAAGCAGATTGTCTATATATTAGGGTTTAGATTGAAATGTGCCCCCAGTAATTTCATCTGTTCAGAGGTAGAACTTTGAATCATGATGGCACTCACCTCTATGCATGGATGATGAGTTTATTGTTGAATAGAACACACTTTTTTAGATTTTTATGTAATGTCGATGCACCTTTCCACCTTAAGCACACTTGTACAAAAAAAATATTTAAAAGAGGCAGTGACCTGTTAAACGTTTTTAATGCTTGGCAAATAAGTATTTCCTATACTAAAGTAGAGGAAAACTTACAAGTCCTAAGAAAATGTTTTTGAAATACAAAAAGTCCCTTTAATGCAGGAAATACCAGTATAAGCTGGACATGTTGACACACACCTGTAATTCCAGCACTCTACAAGGCGGAGGCAGGATGGTCATATATTCGAACAAGACCTGGACAACTTAAGTGACTTTACAAGATCCTGTCTCAAAAATAAAAGGGCTGGGCATGTTGCTTAATGGAAAGCAACTGGATTCGATCCCCAGTACTAGAAAGAACAGAGACAAAATAGAAAAACTGTAATCAATGAGATACCATTTGCATTCAGCCCAATTTTTAAAAAATAAATATGAAGAATATTGTCATGTACAAATAGAACATGTCTGTGAAAATGTACATAATATTGTATACAGCTAGTGAACATGACTTTAGAAGCCTTTAACTATAGGTAACCTAGAGCTCTGCCATTTTTCTTCTGTGAATTCATCTTTTTTTCTCTAGAGGAGGAATCTGAGGTTACAGAGGAATGCCTTTCCAAGAGCTGTGCAAGAAATGCCAGCTGCTCCTGCCAGCTAGAAGTAAAATCTCAACTGCTTTCACCCCAACCACCCCCCAACACCACTACTGACCACTCTCCCTTCCTCTGAGCTCTTGATGAATGTCTAGATACCCTGCCAAGCCCATCAGAATAGAACTGTGTGTATGTCAGACAATATGCTTGAGAAACTCCTGCCTGTCCTACCCCCTCCAGAACTTCAGTCCTACAGCTAGGTTGGAGGCCATGCCCAACACTTTACCTCCTCCTATGAATACCCCAAGGGAGTTATTTTGACAAAGTCTTTGCTCAGCCATTTAGAATGTGGTTTTTATGAAGATGCCAACTCTGAACGACAAGGCAAGAAATTCCCTGGGTAATGGAATCTGAGATCTACTCAGTTTGGATCCACTAATAAATACATGAGCCCTCAATGTAACTCTAATATCCATCTGATATTAATGTTGCTACCAACTGGGCACTGAAGTAGGACTCTAAAGGCACATCAATGTGTGCAATGGGGTAGAGAAAAAGAATGACAGTACACCCATGAATCAGTCCCAAGTGCACCAGTCCCAAGTGCACCCACTGGAACATAAGTTGAGTGCTGAGCTTCTCTTTGACCACTTGTCCCAATGGATTTCTGTTATGATCAGAGTTTTATTAAAAACTGAAGAAAAATGCTTGTTGGTTTCCTAAAAAAATCTGGGGCTAAGGTGCTTTAACAGGGATGCCTTACCACATCCACCCAGCAGCATGAAGGAGACCTAATTCTGCCAGCTTATCAGTCCTTCCTGGAGAGTCCATTGACATGAGAGCCTCATGTGCCCCCAAGCCTTCACCCTAACCAAGGATAAATATATCCACCTTTCTATGATTCTAGAAGATACAACTGGAATTTCTCAAATTTTGAGAGGAAAAAACAAAACTGGCCCAGCACTTCCAAATTCACTCCTTTCTCATCAAAACACTTCCCCTAGACTCCAGCCTCCAATTTACATTAATGATCAGATTCTTGCTCTCTGAAGTGCCCTTTGCCTACAGCTTTTTGAATTTTTTGAAACTTTTTCCTCTGAGAGGGAAAACAGCAAGGAGGAATTGAAGAATAATAGGAGGTATGCGAGTTCAAATTCCTTTAGGAACCCAAAGGATGCAAACTGCCTGGATGATTGTTTTCTAACAAGATTCATATAAAACCTATGGGAGCCAAAGGACTGGGATGGGAGCTTTCATTTGATCACTTGGGTCCTCTCCCCACTGAAACTCAGCAGCTGTATTGACAGTTTTTTGGCTAGACACAGTTGTGTTGTCTAGTGAACGCTTGAAAGTCTACTAACAATTGTGT